GTTCCGATCACTATTTAGCTGCTTGTAAGTGATGGGTGGAGATGTTCTTGCCATCCATTGGTCTTGTAACTCACTGCACACCTGCACATATATTTCAAACACAGAACTGAATCTCAACATGGAAAAAGCTTCACTGCCACCCAGTGGGGGGAGTGCAAATCTACACTCACAGGTACACCGGGAGTCCCTGGATCTCCATCTGTGCCTCGCTCCCCCTGCAGAGACATACATCAGGATTAGATGTTTGTTTGCACACGTGCTGGTTTGGCTTTGCGTGAAAAGGTCATGATTACTACTACCAGCCAATAGGAGCGGCCCGGGGAGGGACAGGGCGGGGATTGGCTACTGGTGACCTTTAACAAGCCGGACTTTCCATCTCTTTTCCTGCAGCACTGTCACACAGCGCTCCTTCCTCTGCTCCTGATGCCTCTTTTCAATTACAGCGCGTAAGAAGGAAGCGACGGAGTAACGGAGCTCATCGCTTCCTCTGTGTTGATGCTCAGACGTTTGATGTCTTAATGATGTGAGATGGACTTTATGTAGCACAGGGAGGGAGTAACGTCTTAGTTTGCAAAGTTACTAAAGGAAGAAAAGCCTCGATGTGCCGGCAGGAAAGTACAAAAATACGAGTGTAGTTCCTGTTCACGCGGCCCCCGAATCACTCTGGTCTGCAAACCCCGCCCCCACATTGAAAAGTCCATTTGCCCCCCCACAGCCACGCCTCTTGCTTAACTTCCCCACGCGGCCACATGGCGGCTGATTTGTACCATCTGTCATCATGAGCGCGAGCCGCCATCACTCGTTACTCCGCTTCAGACCCATTTGTGACTAAATAAATGAACCCATCAGGAATCCGCTTCACGCCTCACGTTCGTCCCTTTGAATCCGCAAGAAAAAACACGTGATGAAATGCGTCACAGAAAGGGTGACTTTTGTGCAAGAATCTGGTCCCGTCCTTTTATCGATCCTAACCTTTGACCTCCACAATAACCGGCGCATGGGGGGGAGGAGACCACTCACAGTCCGCCGGGCTGAGTCCTCTGGCCGCAGACAGCATGGACAGGGAGGGGCCGCCGTGCACCGAGCGCAGGTACTGCTCCATGTGGGGGCTGACGGTGTACGGGTGGTGCGGACTGAAGGGCGAGTCGGCCGTTGCCACGGCGGCGGAGGACAGGCGGATCAGGGAGATGTCGGAGATCACGGGGCAGCCGGCCAGACCTGCAGGGCTGAAAGAAAGAGGCGGGGGGGCGGGGGGGGGTCTCTTTACGTCTCTTTGATGAAGGTGTAATACATCTATAAAATACGACTTTGTAAACCCCCTCAGGTGAAAGTGAGTCATAAATGTGTCTCTTGCCGGGCTACTTCATTAACAACGCACACCCTCCATCCTCCGTCCCACAAAGACCCCCCCCCCCCCCCCCCCCCCCCCCCCCTCGGAGACACAACACCATCCAAAGTGAAGCAACGTGAACCCGCGATCGGCCTGGCGGTGCGGGTGAAATATTAATGCTCTCATGGGGTAAAAACATCTTTGTTGACTTGAGACGACAAGCTGCCACGTGGTCAATAAGTCATGTGATCGTCTGGTGAGCACAGTCACAGCTTCATGTGTCGAAGCTGCATTCTCTATGGTGACCAGCAGGGGGCGACTCCTCTGCTCTTCTTCTCTCCTGATTCATTCCCTCAGTAAACCTGAGTTTCTGGTGTCAGTCATGCGAGGTGTGACCCCCATGTGGGCCTCCCCGAGCTCCTGCTGGTCTACTGGAGTCTGCAGGCCGGCATTAAAGGAGTGACGAAATAATTGATGCTGACGCTCGTTGTTGTTATTTACAGGCTGCAGGCATCATGTAAATGTTTGAAGAACACATCCCTTCACTGCTCATCGTATCGGAGCAACAATCAGAAACCGATTTTGTTTCTGAAGGTTTTAACAAAGTGTGCAGAGAGATAAATCTCCAATCCTTCAGTGAGAGTTCTGTGAGCGTGTGACAGAGTTCAGGGAGCTCTCTGATTTAGATAAATGACGCCGTCCAGCGAGCGGCAGAATAAACTCCTTCTGTAGGTTTATGAGGCTGCCCCCCCCCCCCCCCCCCCCCCCCCATGACCTACATACAAACAAACACATCACAGCCTCCTTGCAGTCATCTCCTGAGAAAAGCGCTCTGATTCTTGACACGGAACGTTTTAGATTTAATGTAAAATATAGTCTGACGGATTAAACCTCACTGGTCTCAAAAAGTTATTTTATTCATACGGCCGATTTCTTCAGTTCTGCTCGTTGCATAAATCCAGTCTTTTATTCTGAAATAACATTCACAACACAATATGTCGGTTTGAAGCCCAGAATCAACCAGCGAAGCTTTTTCATCGAGTTCATCAAGTCCTTTCGCTTTGTTTCTCGTAGCTACAGCAACCAATGAGCCGCTCTGTCATTGGCTGGTTAGGGCGGGAGGAGGAGGAGGAGAAAGGGGAGGCCTGACACAACGAGCAGCCCCCTCATTAGGCGATATGCAAACAATGATGAAGGGGCCGGCGGTGGGGTGTCATGTTGGACAATGAGGAGGCGGACCTCTGACACGCCGCCACGTGCTTGTGACAAAGCGCCACAAAGCTCACCACGCTTAATGTGCCGCACAATGTTGCTGTAATTAGATGAATTTGGCACAGGCGGGGGTGATGGGGGGGTCGGGGGAGCGACAGCCAGATCAAGGCCGTGATGAATTAGCGGTCCTCTGTCAAGATCAAATCACATTAATCAAGGTGGCGGAGTGAGCGTACAGCCCCCACCCCGACCCCCCCCAGTCCCGTGATGAATGGCCCTGTTCCGCTAGGCGCAAAGTATGCATCACCATCAAATCTGTGAATCCAAATGTAAGAGCAACACTTGGAGAAAGCTATTGACTTTTCCTCTCTTCCTTCTGTGATGAAGTCTGCAGGAACAAAATAAAGCTGCTGAGATGTAAACTATAAGACGTAAACTATAAGACGTAAGCTATAAGACGTAAGCTATAAGACGTAAGCTATAAGACGTAAGCTATAAGACGTAAGCTATAAGACGTAAGCTATAAGACGTAAACTATAAGACGTAAGCTATAAGACGTAAGCTATAAGACGTAAACTATAAGACGTAAGCTATAAGACGTAAGCTATAAGACGTAAGCTATAAGACGTAAACTATAAGACGTAAGCTATAAGACGTAAGCTATAAGACGTAAACTATAAGACGTAAGCTATAAGACGTAAGCTATAAGACGTAAACTATAAGACGTAAGCTATAAGACGTAAACTATAAGACGTAACCTATAAGGTGTAAACTATAAGACGTAAGCTATAGGACGTAAGCTATAAGACGTAAGCTATAAGACGTAACCTATAAGACGTAAACAAAGACGTAAACTATAAGGCGTAAACTATAAGACGTAACCTATAAGACGTGCCCTATAAGACATAAACAAAGACGTAAACTATAAGGCGTAAACTATAAGACGTAACCTATAAGACGTAAGCTATAAGACGTAAACTATAAGACGTAAGCTATAAGACTGTAAGCTATAAGACGTAAGCTATAAGACGTAAACTATAAGACGTAAGCTATAAGACGTAAACTATAAGACGTAAACTATAAGACGTAAGCTATAAGACGTAAGCTATAAGACGTAAACTATAAGACGTAAACTATAAGACGTAAGCTATAAGACGTAAGCTATAAGACGTAAGCTATAGGACGTAAGCTATAAGACGTAAGCTATAAGACGTAAGCTATGAGACGTAAACTATAAGACGTAATCTATAAGACGTAAGCTATAAGACGTAATCTATAAGACGTAAGCTATAAGACGTAATCTATAAGACGTTAGCTATAAGACGTAAGCTATCAGACGTTATCTATAAGGCGTAATCTATTAGACGTTAGCTAATAGACGTTAGCTATCATACGTTAGCTATTAGACGTTATCTATTATACGTTAGCTAATAGACGTAAGCTATTATACGTTATCTATTAGACGTAAACAAAGACGTTATCTATCAGGCGCTAACTATAAGACGTAACCTAACAGACGTTATCTATCACACGTTACCTATGATACGTTATCTAATAGGATTTTCTATCAGACGTATCTATAATACGTATCTATCAGACGTAATCTATAAGACGGTA